GCTTTAAGAAACTTCTGCACAAGTTTTATTTAGAATAGATGGCATTTTTCAGATTACTTTTTAGGATACAACTGTTAATTAGGATCATAACTACTCCAAGAAAGTAGTGGATCCAGAATTATGGTTCTATAGAAATTGCCATATAAGTACTTTCTATCTACAAATAAATCTACTGTCCATTGGCATCTTGTCAGTCTGCAATATAATAAAACTCTCATAACCAATGGCATACTGCCACCTACCACACAAAATTAAAGCATAGAAATTACATTGAGATATTTTTTTGAAATAAAAAATAAGAGATGATGACAGCTGTGGGATATACTTTAGTTAGATAATAATCCTGCTTCTTCCTTGAGCCTTGTGTGAACCTGTTGTATACTTGCCATGGCTTATCCATCTTAACATTTGTAAGATGATCTTATAGTTATTCTAGTCCAATTAGGATATTATCTAGATCTTATGATAAAAAATAAGTCCTTAGTACCTTAGCATTTGCTTACCTAGAGACTAGTTTTGTCTTAGGATTAGTTTAGAATGGTGTAAACATGTATACTCTTTCTTTGTAAGTAATAACATATTCACTATTCTCCAATGAAAAACACCTATAATATCGCTTCTATATGTCTTTATGGATTCCAATATTTCTTTATCTTTAGTTGATCCTAGGATACATGCAAGTTTAAATGAAACAGTATCAGGAAGATTTAACATTTAGCTTAGATGGGGGCTAATCCATTAGTTTTGAAGGGGTTTTCTTTTTTGATGTTGCAAATGTATTTGGATGCTCTTTCTTCGTTTAAGCTCCTTCTCCTTCTTGTTGGAGGAAAACACATAAGAAAATTTAATTTTTTTGGGGATGTTCACAAGTTGTCATTCTTGATACCTTCGATACTTCAATTTGAGGTTGAGTTTTTCTTAAACTGGCAAGAGTAACACAAAGGAAAGTTTTCGGATTTCTATCTGCATTATCAAAGTATTAAAATTTGTTTTAGATTTTGTTTTTGATCTAAATTAGGATTTTATTAGTAATCTTATGTTTACTAGTTTTCTAAGATAGTTATTTAGATTATGTAGTAAGGTTATGTTCGGAGCAAGTGAACAATGTTGAAAATTTTCTGAAATTCCATTTGCATTATCAAAAGGTATTAAAATTTGTTTTAGGTTTTGTTTTCGATGAAGATTGGTAATTTTGTTATTGATCTTATTATTTACTAATTTAGTTAAGATAGTTATTTAGACTAAATAGAGCAAGTGAACAATTATATGGAATTTGTTTGGAAATCCGTACTTAGTTTAGTTAAAAGAGGATGAAAATCCATTTAAACTGATAAAAATTTATTTTTAAGAAATCAAGTGAAATTGAAATAATACTTCATTAATTCTATTAGTTTAGTTGGAATTCCACATAATTTATTAGTATGACATTAATTTTATTATCTGCTAATAAAATTTTCATTCTTCCTAGTTGAAGTTTAAATTTGTTCCAGAAATAGCTTAATTAGGTTCTTAGTGGATTAGAATTTGTTTAATTATGAATTTAATTTATCTAGGACTAATTTTTAGAGCGCTGTAGATGTATAACTGCCATGTTTTGTAATTTTTTTCCTGAAAGAAATAGTATAAAGAATTATATTGCTATGGGCACTAACGGGATACCAACTCGTACAAAAATATTTACAAATCTATCCACTTGTCAAAAAGATTCCCTAAATATTGACTGTAGAGAATGACCACTAACAAAAAATAAGGGTGTTAAACCATCTATTCTTGAGGATATTGAAACCATTCACGTCATCCACCAATCAAAAGCTCTCTTATTTCTTTCCTTCCACACGGTCCATAAAATAGTGAGTGGAATCATATCAGCGTATTTGCTCCTACTCCTGGTGCCCTTCTGTGCCCATAGCTCTTCCCTCTCCAAATCTGTCATCATCTAATTGATACTTAACAACCCATAAATCATGGTCAATTGCTTGTACACCATCGATCACCACAATAAAACATAAATTACAACTCTCTCTGCCCCCTTACATGAGTCACAAGCATTCACCAGAACCTTACTCTACACCTTAGGTTATCTATAGTTAAGATACATTCTCTGCTAAATTCTCACACAAAAAATGATATTCGTGGTGGAACTCTTACCTTTGAAATCTGTCTGTACGAGATCCTTATAGACAATAACAAAAGTATGCTTAATAACTTCTCATATTCATCCACTTCCCAGTCCCCTCCTCTCATCCCTGTATGACAATCACATATCTTCACGCTTTTTTGTTGAACAATAGTGAAAATCTGAGAGAATTGATCCCTGAGAGTATCTCCTCCCATCCACTGATGTAGTCTGGAATTTCTCCCTTCCCGCCCCTATCTTTTTCCACAAAATTTTACCATGAGCTCTCAGTGCCATACTAGTAAACCACTCACTCTCCTCAATCCTAAATTTTGCTTGCAATAATCCGTCTCCAAAGCTCCCTCCTTTAAGAACTTCCATAATCATTTACTCTGCAGTGCCACATTCATTTCCACCAAAGATCGAAGACCCAAACCACCAAAGAGAAGTGGTTTCTTATTTTCATTCTGAGTAACTAATTGGTATTGTCTTCTATCTTCCACATCTCCCTATAGGAACCCGTTTTGGGTACCTTCCAGTTTCTTGGCAACACTTACTGAAATAGTCATAGTAGACATGTAATAAATAGGTAAATTACTATGTTTTGTAACTTATAACATGTTCATTATTCATCAGTGAAAATGGTTAGCTTTAAGATCTTGTGGACTTTAAGTTTTTAAACAATATCAAGAAAATTCAATCTAGCTTCACAGGGATCAAGCAAAAGTAAACATCTAGCTTAATTGAGATCAAACAAATTTGTTTGATGCTTTGGTGTTGCGTCATTTTTCTAGCTGAATGTGAATCTGACTCAATCTTTCTTGGAAGAGTATAAAAGGGTTGGTATCTACAAGAGTATAATTATGTTTTATAGATGTATACAAATGAAAGTCATTTCTAGGAGGAAGGTAAAGTTTTGGAGATATTTGAACTGTGAAGGCTCCTAATACACAGTTTTCTAGGGTGCTTTTTCTGTACACAAGAAGGGAAGCACTGGTGAGCAAGCTCTATTCAATCTCGACTGGGCATGTTGCGTTGGAAGTTGAACATGTTTACAAACTTCAATATCTAGGAGGATGAGGAACAAATTTAGACTCCTGAATCTCCTCTCTTTTTAGGATTTTGTCCTCCAAGACAGATGTTCCTGTGTGGAAACCTGGTGCTGATGGTCTTTTCTTAGTAAGATACTTCTACTCACACCTTGGACATTTTTCCTTTTCCTAGAGCAATTTCTATGGAAGCTCATTTGGAAGGTCAATGTGGTACCAAGAAGTGCTTTTCATGCTTGGGAGGCTATGCACGAGAAGATCCTAATTAATGATAATTTGAGAAAAAGGAGCAAGATTTTGGTCAATGGATCCTACATGTGTAGAAGGGTGACAGAGTCCAACCATCTACTTTTGCTGTACCCTTTTTCTTTGTAACTTTGGTGTGTAGTCCTCGATTCCTTGGGTATAACTTGTGTGATGGCTAGCTTCGTTATTGATTAGATCTAGGCTTGGTGAGGTATCAAGGGCGATAAAAGAAGGCTATTTCTCTTACCCCCCTGGCTATCCTGGGGCTATTTGGAAAGAAAGAAATAAGAGAGCTTTTGAGAGTGTGGGTTTTTTCTTTGATGAGTCAAAGATTTGTGGTTCGAGATCCTTTTCTTTTGTATAAGGATCATCCTGTTTGCGCTGATGATCATGAGGATCTTATTAACTCTAAATTTTCTGTGAAAGAAAGAAATAAGAGAGCTTTTGAGAATGTGGCGTTTTCCTTTGATGAGTCAAAGATATGTGGTTCGAGGCTCTTTTCTTTTGTATAAGGACTATCCTGTTTTGTGCTGATGACCATGGGGATCTTATTGTCTCTAAATTTTCTGTGATTCTCCTTTTGTTTCTCGACAGTACCTCCATACTGTCTTGTTAACAATATTTTCCTTTCCTTCTCATGTAAAAAAGAATCTCTCTTGCTGCAATCTGTTATACATAAAAAAAAAATGCCTTTCTTGCTTTAAACTTCATACAATGGTTTATCTTACTTTTTTTGTTACAATATCAATACCTTTTTTTCATCTTACCGATGTGGTGCTTGTTGCTTGAAGGTTCTTGACAGGAAAGATACAGTTGCTGAAAATATGTCCATCGATGAGCTTGCAAAGGTATTCTTTTCATTTTTATCCTAGGTCAACAACAGTTTTTAAGTTTCTATAACAAGTCATCGGTATGTGTGAGCCCATTCATCGTTTTTCAGTTATTGTAGCCTTTTTTTCCCGTTGGCATAACTA